GATCAAATTCGGGAATGGTGGCTTGAACTAAAATGTTTCTCTAGTGCAGAAGTCATTGAACTGGAGCCCATGTATGCTGATATTATACAAAATTAGTGTGTATGGGCTTTTTCCTTTAGAGAGGCTCTAATTTTAATTAGGTTCCCAAAGGAGATCATGGCTTCAAAAATATTAAGAATCCTAATTCTAGGATCAAATGGCTCATTCAGACAGGTTATCTCGCAATTACTGTTAGGTGGCCATCCATGTCTATGAACTTTAGTCTTAATGTGGACATGTGCCTATATACATCATGGAAATCAAAGTGTACGGAGCTCAGAGAACAAGAAAAAGTGTAAGAAAGGAAGACTATCGATGGCTTTACAAGGAAAGGTGTTGATTATATCCCAGGATATTAACCTGTTGATAATTCAGCACAAAATTCCTGTAGCTTTCACACTAAAAGGCTAAGTTGTAAATCCAGTTCTGCTTGGAAGATCATTAATCTATTCATTCCTTTGTGCTTTTACAGTATTTACCCTCTATTATAAAACTTAACCTGCTGGAGTCTAACTTTTCAGAACTTACACGGCTGTCTCAGTTTATATTATAACACAGCTCTTCAAGAACAAGCTCTGGTAGCCCCAGAGCCCAGCAAACAGACACTCAATGGATGTTGTTGAGCAAAACAATGAATTCATGGCTGCCTGACTTCTACACAACTCGGAATAAGCAATAATCTATAAACAAATACAGCTTTAAAGATTCAAATTTAATGGAGGGCTAAATAATGTGTCATTTTAGCCAAATCGACCAGATTGAGCAAGTGACCCCGTTCAGTGTTCAAAGCGGTGGAACCTGCAGGAAGATTGTACACAGGCTACAGCTGCGATTCACTCCCAGGCCCGAGTGGTGCTGATTCATTCCCCACAGTTCCTCTGGAAACAAACTTCTGAGTTAGAGAAATATAAGCAGTCTTAGATCTGGGAGTCATCAGGAAATGTTTGATACTTTAAAGAACTGACTGCGAGCTAAACAGGTTAATGTGACATTTCAAAGGGATTTTGAAATTCAATAGCTCTCTCTCGCAGCTGATGTTTATTCTCTGGTTGTAAGGCGAATGTTGAAATTCTTCAAAGGCACAACAGTGGATTGTAGAAGAACGAGATGGGTTCAACATTCACGACAGGTTTTTTCCCTTCTCCCTGACCCCTCGCCACCCCATGAAAAAGCTATGCACGCAATAGGAAACGGGAAAGGCATCTGGCCGGCGCTTAAACGTGGTTTTCTTCATCATCAAAGGGGGTTCTGCGTGAAAACAACAGTTCTGTAGATTCAGAAGTATCATGGTCCACTAAAAAGAGGAAAGCGCAGTCATAAAGAATCCGTGTAAAGGAAGAAGATATAACTCTTTTCTCTTACCACATCAGCGCTGCGCAGGAATGCAAGATGTTTGCCATCACTCAAGTGAGTTGTGTTGAGCCGGACAGTCTCTTTCACATGCACGTTTTCAAACCCGGCGAGAAAAACTAATGACCAAGATGTGTCACACATGAGATAAGACAGAGGAGCCTATTTTATTGCTTCATAACTCAGATGTGAATTGTACAATTGTGTATGCAAAACAATTTCATAAAGGTTTATTAAGAGCACGAAAATCACGTTTAGGTGAATCAGTAAGTGAGGAAAGTTAGAGAACACACCTGAAGGAATGAACGAACATTCAGGTGAGAGAATTCTTAAAAGTTGTCTACTCTAAACCTGTATTGGTTTAGTTGTAAGTAAAAGAAATCCAACCGGAAGTGATTTCATTTAAAAAAAGAAAAAGGGGAAACGGGAGGGAGGGAGGAAAGGAATTTAGCAGCTTATAGGGTCCAAGAAGGGGTTTCACACCCGCACCATGGAAAGGGGTGGACACAGCTGGGCCTCCAGACAGCTGGGGGCAGGAATGTGAATGCTCCCAGGAATGGTCTCCACCTCCCGTCTTTATTTTCTCTCTCCAAGATACGGTCACTCTTTTTTTAAATGGTGGGAATGAGCGCTCCTGAGTTCTTAAGGTTTACATCTTTTAGACTGTGAAGAGGGACCGAGAGTGTTCCTTTTTACATTAAGTCAAAAAATTTTAGAAAAGGAATGCATTGGTGTAGGTTGGATGAGTCACCAGTAGCCAGGATTAGCTGTTTGCATGAGAGTTCTCCCCTGGATTTATCAACTGTACCAGGAGTGGAGCAAGATGTTTGGAGAGGGGAGGCAGCCCTGGAATAACATGACATTTCAAAGTGGACATGTAGATGGGCTCTGGGAGAAGAGGAGGGGACACCAGAATGTCCAATAAAAACTCCATCACTTTACAGGTAAGTAAGCAAAGAGATGAGGTGATTTGTTTTAGCTTCTATGAACTAGTAAAACAGCCAGAACTCAATAAATAAAAACTCAGAAGAAGATACTGATTGCTTTCAGCATGAACTGTATTGTTTTATATACCTATTTATATACAACTACCCTGTAAAATAGTTACTAACATCCTCACTTCTCAGATGAACAGAGGTTCAGAGATGAAGTAAATTCTCTAAAGCTACATTGCTACTTAATGTCAGAGCCAGGATTTATACATAGTTCTGTCCAATTCCAAGCCTGTGCTCCTTAAAAACAATAATACCAATAATAACTGGATTGTTTTTGGGAAATGAATATATGGTCATTATAAAGATTCACGTAACACAGAAAAACACTTCTGTTATGTTTAGCACAGAATGACTGAACACCCCAGATTACTCCAACTAGAATTAAACATCATGAACAAAGAATATCTTTTACATATCACTAAGAACAGAAGAATAAATAAGCACTTATTTTAATAAAAAGGGCACATCAGATAATGTATCTTATTTTAAAATAAAATCATATTTTATTTTACTTGATTTAACTGAAAAGAAATTAGAGTGAAGAACTGCTGAACCTAGATTTTTTATTTTACTACAAAAAGCTCCTTGATGTTACAAACTATTATGAAATGTAGAAAGACAATGGAATCATTTTTAAAAGAAACTATATGTTTCAAATGTTTGCAGCACTCCCCCTGCTCTAAAAAGAAAATGGCCCACTTATACTTTCGTACCTCCCGGCCCCTTAGCCTTGTCATTTTGGTGAGTTCTATTAATATTACATTTTCAAGACATGTTTGTATTCTGTCTGTAGCCATAATCCACATGGTATACTCTCTATTTACGTGGATCCCATGCTTATCACAGTATCTTTTACCAAACTTTTCCCTTACTGATTTCCTTTTGGTTTTCATATCTTTGTTTGCTGGGTTTCATTCTCAAATAGTCCCTCTTTCCCCAAGGAAGATGTGATCCACATGCCTTGAGAACGCCCACTGCCCTTTGATTTTGGTTTCCAGGTTGTAAGAGCCGTTCCAAGGAAGCTTGGGGACTTCTTGAATCTGTAGCTTAATGTCTTTCATCAGTTTTTGAAAATTTTCAGCCATCTCTCTCCAAATGTAACTTCTCCATTTTTTAAATTTTCTCTAATTGGGATTCTAATTACACATGAATTAGACTTATTGTAACTCCTATGTCTCTTATATTCTTTTTTTTTCTTGTGTGGTGTTTTCCATCTTTTTGTCTCTCCATGCTTTGTTCAGAATATTTCCTTCTAAAATGTCTTCTAATATACTATCTTTAGCTGTGTATAATCTGCTCTTAAATCAGTTCACGGAGTTCTTAAGCTTGGGCACTACATTTTTCAGTTCCAGAATTTTTGTTTTATTCTTTAGTTTTCAGGTTTTGTGCTTTTTTTTGTTTTTTAAATTTCCTTGACCACGTTTATAGCATTTGTCTAAATATTCCGTATTATTTTGTGTATTTTTTTTCATCTTTAAAAAGTTATGCTTAATCTTTTCATGACTGGTTATTTTCCGATTTATTTGAGTATATAGCAACCAGATGAGGAAAGTACCAATACTATCCCATTTTAAAGTGAAATAAAAAAAAATCCAGGAAATTAAAGAGCATGCCCAAGTTCTTATATTCAGTGCCTATACACAGACCTGGAATCCAAACTCCTTTTTTTCTGAGCCCCAAGCCAGCGGTGTTCCTCGCGTTCCTGTACAGCTGTCCTGTTCAACACCTGCGCGAGGGGAACGACCCCCCTCTGCTGCGGCAGGATGGGGGCCCTGCGCACCCTCGGGTCCTGCTGCAGCGGGAGGACGGCGCTCAGCGCACACCGGCGCTGCTCACTGTCAAAGCGGGGCCCCTGCCCTCCCGTTTCACTTCGGTTCTGTACTCCAGGGTCTGGGCAGTGCCAGTTAATAGAGTACATGCTAACAGCAGAATTTGTTTTCAATATTTAAAGATACAGAATAACCTAAGGAGATGTGACATTATAAAAAAGACAACTTCCTACTTTGCATATTAGAACCCTAAATTTTATGTTTTTACTTTGCTGTCTCACAATTTTGATAGATTATGAGAAAAGAATGAGGTATCCAAAAATTCAGTGAAGAATTTTAAGGCCCACCTCAATGAGAGGCATAAAGAATTATCACCATTGCATCTTGCATAATTAGTTCAACTGAACTTTTAATGTTTTTGTAACCAAAATTTAAAAACGTAATTTATATTTAAACTTTCTCTTAGTATTCCTAAGAGATTGTGTTATGTGTTACCAAACATTAGTTGGAAATAGTAGGTATAAACAGATGAAATTTGAGAAAAATAATATAAAAATAGTTACACTTATTATACAATCTAGCCTCTTTAGAATATGAAGCTGATTTTTACAAACCATGCTTCATTCAACGTGGAACATATGGCATTGTGGTTCTGAGAAAAATATATCTCTGAGCAGGACTTCTATCATTAAATTTATATTCATCTAGCACCTTACAAATTCCTTTTACATTTTAATGCTAATGCATTTCTATTATAGAATGTTGCTTACAGAAGAATATGTATTAGAATACCGCAGCAATCACAAAAAAATCAATAGAAAAATATGTTAAAATAAATATTACAGAATTTTATCCAGAAGCAAGTTTTATTCCTCTCCACTACAAAGATTCTACCAGGTAGGGTGTAGTTTGCAAGAGAACTAATATTGCCTAATATTTCTTTGTCCAGAGTAAATCTGAAACATAAAGGAAGGTTACTTCAGTTGGCATAAGAAATTCACATACCAATGTGAACAGAGTAAGGGACAGTGAGGAGTAAAAAAAGGCGAGATAATGTTTTTCATTTCTCCTAAATGGTCAGCTTTAATATATGCTTATTGAGTGAATAAATACATATATTTTACCAAATCAAAGTGTTGATACAAATTCTGTATTTGTTCTATATTTTGAATTTTAACATTAAGAACTGTATCATAATTTTTGGCCGAGTAATTTCAAATGAAATTAAAATTACTTGTTAGAAGTCCGCAGTATAGATTCATCATTATCTCTGCTTATTTTTAAAAACATAGAAAAAAGAATTTCATACACTTTTACTCTGCAAATACTAAAAAATATGATTTTCAAATAATATTTGCAATAAGTGACTTTTAAGAGGTAGCAGTTAACTTCAAAAACTAATTAGGCATACTATATTCTCTTACAAACTACTGGTTGTAACATAAATAGTTCAACATAAATGAATTTAAGCACAAATTATATGTTATATGTAATAGAAAAGATATGCAGATGTGATTAGTGTATCAAAAAGAAAACCCTAGAAACTTCAAAGAGATTATATAGTAACACATACAATTTTTAAAACAGAATGAATATACAAAATAAGGATATCAACTAAAAATTGTATGCAATTAAATTTCATTTCTTAATAAGCAACAAACTAAAACCTGTCGAGAATTGATGTGCTACACAATGACATGGATGCTATACTAACATGACTGGTAGAAGGCAGTTGATACAGAGATTCAGAAATGTAAAACAATAGCTTGTTTTATAGTTTTAATATTTTATTAGAAAAGGAATGCACATTCATATTTATAATCAGTTTTTATTTTCCATATGTATTGTTTGAATTTCCCAAAAACATTCTCCAGAGTTAGCCATTTAAAACTTATTCATGTTAAAAAATGGGCCGAGGACTTGAAGACATTTCTCCAGAGAAGATACGCAGATGGCCAAGAGACATGAGAAAAGAGGCTCAACACCACTAATCATCAGGGAAATGCAAATTAAAATCACAATGAGATATAACCTCACTCGTATCAGAAAGGCTATCATCAAAAAATCAACAAATAACAAGTGCTGTGAAGAAAAGGGAACCCTCACGTACTGTTGGTGGGATTACAAATTGGTGCAGCCACTACGGAAAACAGTATGGAGATTCCACACAAAAATAAAAATAGAGCTGCCATATGGTCCAGCAACAGTATTTCGGGTGTTTATCTGAAGAAAACAAAAACATTAATTTGAAAGATGTATGCTCCCTTAAGTCACTACAGCATGATTTAAAATAACAAAGATATGGAAGCAACTTAGGCGTGTCCATCAGTAAGTGAATAAAGAGGCAATCATATATTCAATGGGCTATTAATCAGCAAAACAAACCAAAAACCAACAAATAAAATCTGCTATTTGGGACAAAACGGATGGACCTAGAGGGCATTCTGCTATGTGAAATAAGTCAAACCACCCTTGGCTTGTAGATGCATCACTCCAATCTCTGTGTCCACCCTCATGTGGTGTTCTTCCCTGTGTCTCTGTCTCTCCCCTTCTTACAAGGACACCAGACATAGTGGATTGAGGGCCTGCCCTGACCCAGCATCACATCATCCTAAGGAATGACATCTGCAAATGGCCAAATTTCCAAATAAGACTACATTCTGAGGTTCTGTGAAGGACAAGAATTTTCGAAGGACACTATTTAACCCAGTGCAGTCAGTTTCATTAACATTAAAGAAAAATAATTCCCATATTATACACGTCTAAAAATAATTGATGAAATAGATGAAACACTGGTCAATATAAGAGTGTGATCTTTTATTTGTTAATCAGATACTTGGATGGGAACGTACCTTTGGAAATCTCTCTCATTCATAAATACAACTTCATGCAAAGAGAAACTTACAACATTCTTTAACAAAGGTCCAGGGGATTGATCTAGGTGCATTCATTTGTTTCTAATTTGAGCACATTGTTCCCCAGAATATTTTCTAACTCTGATTTCAATGAAGAATTGTTCAGATTTGAATAAAGCCTATAAAGTAAAAGCAGTAAACAAGCTTTAAAACTAAAGTTACATATTATAGAGGTACCTAAAGTCAGTCTAAGGTAAACTCAAGTACTTAATCTTCTGTCCATATAGTTCTATTGATATTTTATTCACTTGGAATTGCCGATTTAGAATCTATCATCATAACTGATAAGATGAATCTTTCCTGTATAGTGCTAAAATAAACCCATTAATCCAGTTTTGAGATGCTGTTTCTTCTTGAGTTGAACTTTCTGTGTCATATTAATATTTCCTACATTTTCTTAGTGAGAAAAAATGCTAAATATCCTCAATCTCCACACTTATGTACTATCTATCTATATATTCCATAATTTCTGGTGTTAAGCCATTCAGGTGCGAAACTGTGAGGAAAAACTTGAAGGGTCAGACGATTCTGACTTTCTCATAATTTGATAGCTGCTCTAAGCTTGGCTGAGCGTCCTCTGGGGTTATCCTGCACATCCTGATCTTCCGGGGTAAGTACCTTCTTGTGTATCAATTCCCACATTAATGGGGCCCTTCCTATTGACACCCCTTCCTTGTGTTCATGACCTGAACCCAGTTGTGACGCTTGTGTCACCTTCTGTCTTACACTTAGGTTAAATCTTTCTGTCATGCTTATCCCAAGCAGGAATCGTTTGACAATGCGATCCTCTAGGGAATGGAAGGAGAGAGCAACAAGACGACCGCCAGGTCTCAGGAACTTCTGCGCTGTCTTCAGGCCTGTGTAAAGTTCATTCAGTTCATTGTTTACAAATATGCGAAAAGCTTGGAAAGTCTTGGTGGCAATATGGGTCGATCGTTGTAGCAAGTCTTTTCGTGCATAAATAGCAGAGGGAGGAAATGCACCTATAAACAGATTTTGTGAAAAATAGGAAAAGAGGACAGGTAACGTTAATATTTTCCACGGTAAATGTTCTGGGTTGTGTATATATTTAAAGAACTACATTTCCTTTGAAAATTGTAGCATTTCATCAGTCCTTCCCCATTTTATTTCCCAGCATTTTAACAAGGCTTAAAACTAATGTGTCAGAAACATCTTTCATAACTCATAAAAGAAACTGGAGTCAAATAGGAGCAGAAACGGAGAACTCGCAACTACAAGATGTTCAGTGTCACTCCCAAATAGTATAAATAAAGAAAATTGTGCCTAGCACATTATAATCAAACCCTTCTACAAGCAAAAGATGAGAAAATCTTCACTACAACACAGAAAAACAATACATCACAGAAAGGAGAAGAAAAATATGATTAACAGCTAGTTTCTCATTAGGACAACAGAGGCTACAAGATACTGGAACTATATTTAAATTGTTGAGGAAAAAAACTGTCTTCTAATAAAAGACTATTCTAAAATTATTCTTCAAAATTAAAGGTTCAAAGACATTTTCAAATAAATTAAAAATGAGGGAATTCATTGCTAATTGGTCTGCATTCAATAAATGCTACAGAAATACTTCAAGCTGAAATAAAATGATACCAAGTGATAACTTGGATATACAGAAAATAAAATATATACATATTCTCTTAATTTCTTTAAAAGACAGAACACTTTAAGTAAAATTATAACAATACTTTTGGGTTTATAATATAGATATAAATAAGTAATGTATATGGTAGCAATAGCACAAAGGATGAGAGTAGGTAAATGGAACAATGTTGCTGCGCGCTTCCTCTATTTTACTTAAAATTAAATTTGTATTATGGTCCCTGGAGCAGTCAATGAAAATAATGCAAAGAAAGCTAATAAGCCAATAGAGAATAAAAATAATCTACAAAAGTATTGTTTAACACAAAAAAAGGCAAAAGAGAAGAACAGGAAAACAAAAATGAGACAAAGGGAAGACAATTAGCAAAATGGTAGATGATAATTCCAAATACAAAAATATTTACATTCCATATAAATGCACTAAATAGTCCAATAAAAATGCAGAGATTGTCTGGCTGAAAGACAGTAAGACCTAACCATACATTGTCTACAGAAATGTACTTTAAATATAAAAACATAAATAAAAGTAAAAATACATAAAAGGCTGTGAAAAGATATACCATGTAGACAGTAAACATGAAAAACCTGGAGACACTATATTAACACTAGACAAAATAAACTTTTAAAAGATAATTACTAGACCCATATAGGAACATTTCCTATCAAGAAAATGGTCAAGACAGCAGGAAAATACATTGTAGATCTTCATGGACCAAATAACAGTTCCAAAAATCTAGTCATCCCAGAAAAAGGCCTACATTTATAAAGGCAATTGGGTTGTGACCAAGCTGTCAAGTTAATTCAATGGAGAACAGATTTTCAATAAAAGTGAGTATCTTTAAGAATATGAACTTCAACCCCTACTGTAGTACACTAAACACAAAAATTAATTCTAAATAGATCATAAACACGAGAGTAAACACTAAAACCATAAAACATATATCTGACAAAACTCTCTTAGCTGAAATATATAGGAACTCTTACAACTTAATAAGTCAAATTACTCATTTGAAAAAAGGGCAAAATTTGAAAAGACATATTGCAAAAGATATAAAGTAGAAAATAAACATATATAAAGACATTCAAAATAATTATTAGTCATAGAAATGGAAATTTAAACCACAGTGAAATTCTACTACACACCCACTAGAATTGCTAAATCTTAGGAAGATACAAACTACTGAAACAGACTCAAGAAGAAATAGATAATATAAATAGACTTATTATGAGTGAAGGAATTTTGTCAGTAATCAAAGTCAACTTATAGAGAAGTCCAGGCCCAGATGGTTTCATTGCTGAATTCTGTGAAACACTCAAAGACTTAATAATAATACTTCACAAACTCTTCCAAAAAATTGAAGAGGAGAAAGCACTTCCCAGATTATTCCATGAGGCCAATTTGACCCTGAAACTAAAACCAAAGACATCATAAGAAAATGACAGACCAGTATTTCCTGTGAATATAGACATAACAATCCTCAACAAAATACTGGCAAACCGAATTTAGCAGCATATTAAAAGAATTATAGACCATGACCAAGTGGGAATTATTCTTGAGATGCAAGGATGGTTCAACACATAAAAACTGATTTATGTAATACATCACACTAACAGAATGAAGGGAAAATATCCACATAAGCATACAACTGATTCAATAAACACACTTGAAAAAATTCAACATCCCTTCATGATAAAAGCACCCAAAAACCTAGGAAGAGAAGAAAAGCACTCTACCATAGTAAGGGCCACATCACACTCTATGATGAATGGCAGAAAGCTTTTTCTCAGAGATCATGAATAACACAAGGATGTTCACTTTCACCATTTCTATTCAACATACAAAAACCACTTGTGTTTCTATACACTAACAATAAGCAATCCAAAAATAAAATTAAGAAAACAATTCCATTCAAAAATAGCTTCAATAAGAATTCAGTTAAAGTTAGCAAAAGTACAAAGCTTATGCTATGAAACCTATAAAAATTTTTGAAAGAAAATGTTTAAGATAGAAATATGCCCAAATATATCTAAGTTTCAATGCAATCTCTATCAGATCACAGCTGACTTTTTGGTACAAATTGACAAGCTAATTCTAAAATGCATATGGAATTATAAGACAGAAGAGCCAAAATTACCCTGAAATATATATAAATATATATTTTAGGAGGACTCACACAGATTTCAAAGCTTACTACAAATTAATAGTAATTGATATAGCTTGATACTGGCACAGCAATAGACATAGAAATCAATGGAAAAAGAATAGTCTTCTGAACAAATGGTACTGGGACAACCAGATGGTTCATAAAAAGGATGGAGTTGGACCCTTAAATCATACTCAGAAATTAACAAAACAAAGACCTAAATGTGAGAGTAATAACTACAAAAATCTTATAAGAAAGCACAGAGATAAATTTTCATGACTTAGAATTTGGTAAAAGTTCTTAATAAAAAACACCAAAATCACAAGCAACAAAGAAAAAATAGATCAATTAGACTTCATCAAAATTAAAAACATTTGTCCTTCAAAGGACACCATCAAGAAAGTAAAAAGACAACCCAAAGAAATTTGCAGTCATATATCTGATAATGGATTTGTATCTAGAATACGTAAAGGAAGAAAATTACAAAGTAAAGATGTATGATACTATTTATATAATATTTTAAGACATGCAGATCAAAAACAGTTACACTGCATCTAGTTTTCAAGATAAACACAGAAATGTTTATTTTTAAATGTCAATAAATATAATTTTTCTTAGACTTACCCCCATTGGCATACAAGTATGACACTAACACATAATGTTCAATGAATTTGTACAGGATTTTCTATTTGATTCAGGGGCCCATTCCTAGAGACTACTATCCCATAGAGAAATCTTTCCAGTCCAGCTTTCCTATGAATGAAGATCTAAAAGCACGACTGCAATCCTGGTACTTGAGTCTCTTTAATACGCTTCTTATAGCAAAGTAAATTATACAAGCTGGTAGCTTAGTTCACATTTTAGTGCTCCATAGTAAACCCAGTAGTAAAGTACATTAACACACAAGTGATTAATCTTCTTGGGGAACTGGATCAGAGAAGGGAAGAAATCATGGACCCAGGAGTTGAGAGCCTGGCTGTCTAAATTAAACCACATCAGGGTTATGGGTTCACTCTTTTCTCTACAAAAATGACTTTGCTGAAAGGCTAGAACATGTTAGACACTGGGGAAATGATCGTCCAACAACCAGGTCTCTCAGAAACAAAATGTCAAAGAGCTGAAGAGAGAAGTCAGCTTCTTGCCATTTGCTATTCATTTTCTCCATTTTCCAGAGAAAGATTTTGGTCACTGAGGAATATGTTTCAAAACATTCTAAGGAGTTGAACAAACATGCAACTCTTCACATTTTAGAGACTGAATTTAGAGGACACTTGAGGAAGGTTGCATTCCTGAAGACCTTGTATGATTCAATCCTTGCATAATTCAACACACATTTTCTCAAAGGAGAAATGTAATGTAAAATACATTTTAATGTGCATGGATCAAGTAAAATAGGAGGTAAACATTCATGAAGCACAAGGATCAACAAACACTGTAGGATATTTTTGCTTTAATTCTTTGTAAAAACTTTTTCTTAACACTATCTAGCATTTTGTAGAAATTAAAAGTATGGCTCATCATGGTAATTGCTTAGCTTCCTTTGCATTTTTTCGTATTTCAAACATATATAGGGGCAGGCAAAAGTAGGTTTGCCTTTGTGAGTACATGAAACACAGAGTGTATTCTTATATTATTATTTCTTAATTATTGTATTATTTTCCATATGAACCTATGAACCTACTTTTGCGTACACCTGTGGTTTTTAACAGAGCACTGAATTAGCTATGCCTGGCTATGTGTTAACTAAATTGATGAAATAAAAGAAAGGCAGAGAGCTTAATAAATACTTCTCTGATATTATCATTAAATATATTTTTGAAAACTAATGAAAATAGGAAATGTTAAAAGAACAACATAATGTCTGAAATTACCAGAGAAGTTCTAATATAAACAACAGTGGTTCATTTGACATGACACAGTATGGTAGGCATTTCTGTTTACCAGCTAAAATGGCACCTTCCTGAGGCAGTATAAAATTATAGTTTATAATTCATTTAGCCAGCTAGCAGTGAAACTATAAGACTCCCGATTAATTATTTTAATTGAGGGAATCTGTTTTTATTTCAAAGTATTCACATAAAGAGAGACTTTATTAATATTTTATTTAATGTAACTTCAAGCTTACATAATTCATATTCACACGTACATTCACACTATATATGAATCTAGAGCTGACAGATTACTACCACTGTGATCAGACAAGCTTTTCTTTATAA